ATATTCATTTTTACATGCTTGAGTCGTAGTTTGAGTGTCAACACATACACTCACCTCACTTGTATGATTCTCTCCATTGAGACTCATCCCATCTTGGGCCGCTGCCTCCACGACACACCCAACCTTTAGGTCACCACCTCCACGACACACCTTTTTCTTTGGTTGATGCCTTCATGTCATGCTTACCCTTCCGGGTCGCTATCTCCACGACACAACCATACTTTGGGCTGCTGCCTCCATAACTCGCCCACACTTTAAATCACTGCCTCCATGACACACCCACCCTTTGGGCTACTGCCTCCACGACACACCCTTTCCTTGTGTCATTGCCTTTGCGACATGCTTACCCTTCTGGGTTACTACCTCCACGACACACCCACTCTTTGGGCCACTGCCTTTATGACATGCCCACCCTTAAGGGTCACTGCCTCCACGACAACCCATTCCTCAGGCCGTTGCCTTCAAGGCACACCCAACCTTTTGTGTCACTATCTCACCACACACCAATCTTTTGTGTCGCTGCCTCTATAGCATGCCTACGCCATTGGGTCAGTGCCTCCATGGCACACCCATCATTTGGGCCACTGTCTTTATGATATACTCACCTTTTCGGTTCACTACTTCCTTGGTATACTCACCCTTTGGACCCCTGCCTTTACGACACAACATTTTCTTGAGTCACTGCCTTAATGACACGCTCACCCTTTCAGGTCACCGCATCCATGACATACCCATTCCTCGGGTCGCTACCCCCACGACCTGCCCACCCTTCCGAGTCACTACCTCAATGGTGCACCCATCCTTTCGGCCACAACCTCCACGATATGCTCAATCTTTTAGGTCACTGTTTTCATGACACACCCGACCTTTGGGCCACTGCCTTCAAGACACACCCACCTTTGCAGGTCACTGCATGCATGGATAGTGAGCTAGACTCGATAGATGAGTGAACCCATGTTGGTCGCGATGCCTTAACTGAGAGCATTCCCCTGCAAAATAATTGTCATTTGATAGCCCTATGTTAATCGTCACTTTAAATGTAAGCATAAATCCTCAAATCAAGAGTATTTTTGAGCAATCCTCAATATATAATTCACTAAGTGAGATGCATTGAGAGCACTCTAGACCCTAAAACAGACGAACATAAATCACTAGTTTTTGGTAGTCTATATAGGTATTCTTTTATGAATATTGATCTAAGGTGCTTTCGTCCGATTTTGTTTTGGCGAACATACTTGACATATCATTGCGAGGTTTTCCACACATAGGCTCTTCATGTTCTTTATCTTATTTTTTTGTTTTTGTTATATGCTCATCATTTCTGATTCATCTGTTCTCCTCATCATTCGCACGATCTGGAAGAGAGACTTATTCATAAAAGGAAAGTATATGACGATGGACAAACTGATAACTCCTTTAAAATTAAAATAGAAAACGAAACACAAATAGAAACTCTAATGTGGTTTCGAGCTCCGGTAAAGTTCCGACAAAGTTCTGAGCTTCGGTGAAGTTACGGAGAGGCCCGCCCCGCGCTTCTCTAAAGAAGGAAGAAGCTCTCTTTTAGAAGGCGAGTCTGACAAGATTCCGCAATGTTTTGAGCTCCGATGAAGTTCTAGTGAAGCTTCGACGATCTTTCCACAAGCTAGGAAGAAGCTCCTTTTTAGCACAAGAGAAAAGAAACTTTGCTTCCTTGCTAGCCAAGCTCTTCCTCACAAAGATCTCCTCACGCACTCAAATGAAGTGATGGAAGAAGGGGAAGAAGATAAAGGAAGAAGGAGAAGAAAAGGACCAGCTCCGTAGCTCTTCCTTAAGATGAAGAGTCTTCCTCAAATATCTTTGCCTAAAGAGAATTTTTTGAAGGCACCTCCAAGATCTCCAAGGGAAGATGAAGCTCTCTCTTGTGCACTCTCAAGCTCTCCTTACCAACCCAACTCTGAAAATGAAGAGGAGATAGGTGAAATGAGGGGGCCAAGTGAGCTTAAACCATCCCCTCCCAAATTTACCCCCAAATTTGCCAAAAGTGTCCTTGCCACTTCACCCTAGAAGCCTCCAAAAGTGATATAATATCCTCCTTTACCCCCTCCTAATTTCCCCCAAAACAAAAAAAAAAGTCCTGATCATTTTGGCTCATTTAGCGATGCAACCGATCAAATTGATGTAAAAAAAAGTGAAAAATCCCAACCAGGAAGTGGACCGATGCCTAGGTGCCCAGTTTGACACCCTGGCTCGAGGCGTTAGTTAGGCGCCTCGACGCTACCCATGTGGCACACACTTTCCCGGGTCTTAGGAAAAGGTTGTTTTGTGCTATTTTGGGCACTTAGGCCCTCTGGACGGGCGCCTAGTTGTCATTCCTTACTAATATATTCAGGTGTACACAAATGACGAATGTGTCGACAGTGTGGAAATGGTGCATGCAAATGCAACACAAGTGGAAATGAGTATGTCATGGAGGTAGTGACCCCGAAGGTGGGTGTGAAGACGAGGTAGTGACCTGGATGATGGGTGTGTCGTGGAGACACTGATTCAGAGGGTGGGTGTGCTGTGGAGGCAGTGACCCGAAGGGGTGGGTAAGTCGTTGAGGCAGTGACCCGGAGGGTGGGTGTTTCGTAGAGACAATGATCCGAAGGATGGGTGTGTCATGGAGGCAGTGACCTGGAGAGTGGGTGTACCAAGGAGGCAGTTGCCTTGTGGGTAGGTGTGTCGTTGAGGCAGTGACCCAGAGGGAAACTTACGACAGTCTGATGTGGTGTCGTATGAAGAGAATGTGAAGTAATTTTTAATAGGGAGAATTACACACCGGGTAGGCTTGATGCGCAAGTCGTCCTCAAATATGGCATGTGGATGTCTGGAATGAGTGTGTGTGGACAGTGACTCAAGAAAACTCAAACATGTAAGCCATGATAATGCAGGACGTCGTGCAAAGCAAACATGTGAGGGGATATTATTGTGAGTGTGAACACTAGTGACACAGGGCACCACGGCGTGAAAATGTTACAAAACAAGTCTATCAAGTGTTGGCCAGCGAGGTGAAGGAGGAGCTCAACTAGGGAATAACCAAATCGAGAGAGGGAGAACCTCTGAGCTGCTTACCAGCAGGGAGGAGCAACACTAGTAAGGTGAGGCCGCCGGTGCGGAGAGATTGATGTTGAGGGGAGGTTGTTGACAATGATCGGGCCAAGAGGCGCCACACGAGAGAGGGTCAGCAAACCGTGAGGGTCGTCGGAGAGCAAGCCGATCAGGTCGATTGTCGTGCCGAAGAGCGTGGGCTTCAGATCGAGCTCAATATGCATGCAGCTTCGGTAGGAAGGAAGATCAGTGGTCTTCGACCACCAGCTGGAGCAACTGTGCTAGTGGGAAGTTCGTCGAGGTGTGATCGCCGGTGAAGAGACATGTCGGTGCATAAGGAGGGTGCGGTGAAGTGCAAGTTGAGAGATGGAGCGGTACTAGTGCATCACGTGAAGGAAAAACAGGATTTATTTATTTATTTATTTATTTGTTGTGTGCATGAGAAGGGGATTAAATCCCTTTCATTCCTTTATCATTTTTTTTAAAGTTAAGTAAATATGTTTTGATTTAAGCATTTTTTGGCTCGTGCACAAAACCCAGCAAAAAAGTGTCCTTCTTAGGCAAAATCAACGTTCTGGACGCGCTCGCACAGTCTGTTTCGTAATCTGGGGTCATCTCGACAAACTTGTCGATGGTTAAGCCAATTTGAGCTCATGTCGTGCACGGACGAGTGAACGAAATCTGTCATCCATTCGAAGCCGTCTGAATGACCATCTGACTGACTATGAAAGCTACAGTCCAGCAGAATTACCCTAAGAACATGCCCCTCTCAACATGCGTCAGATGGTCTCAAATGCGCTACGAGAATCAACCCATGCATTAAGCAATGTTCTATAGCGCTCGAGCAGACATCCTACACTCGCTACATCAAAAATTGATGCCGACGATGTGTTGGAGAATTCATGATGGTAGAGTAATGAATTACATCTTAGAATTATACGAGAATCTATCACACACTTAGATAATCAAAGTGATAAGTAGAGGTACTATAAATTTTTACATGAAAAAATTGGAAAGGAGAAAAAATCACTGAGCCTGAACCAGTAAGAACAATTTATTATAAATCAATGATTACACATATAGATCTTTGTATCACAGGTAAAAAGGGACTACAAAGTTCTTCAAGTTACAATATTCCTTGTACAATAGTCGGGAGTTGTAGTTGGGAATATTGCTGCAACTGTACACTGTTTTCGAGGTGCGTCGATGTTTCGCAACGTGTGCTCGGATTCTACAGTGCATATTGTGATTCTATAAAGATCTTCATTGCAAGGAGTAGGTGATGACTAACGGGTGATAATTGGCCGTGGTCAATGACTGCAGGAGTGGCCAACGTTCACTGGACCTTCAGTGTATAACACTGGGTTCAACTCCTCCTCCTCTAAGCTCCAATCTTGCACTTATTCAATGTCCAACCCCTCTCAAAGAAAGGATATGAATCTACTTATAATGTTTAAGAGAGACTTCTCTATAAATAAGGAAAAAAATTAGATCACTTTATTGAATGATCTAGATAGACTTATTTGATCAGATAGTGTTCTGTAGATATTTAAGTGTTTTAATGGTGTCGAAATTGAGTGGTATTAGGCATGTCGGTTTTTCTTACCGAGATGCTCGATTTGATTATAAGCTTGTTAAATTTGAAAATTATTTGACCTTTAAATTGGGCACCAAAAGCTTCCAAAAATAGCTTAATGGATAGACCTCGACTTTGATTTGATTCAGATTGAAACAATTTTGTTATCATTATGTTGGTCTCGTTGAGCTATCAATTTGACTGTAAGTTTGTTGAAATTAATGCTTCGGATAATCTTAGTTAAAATTTGAATGTTCTTTATTCAAAAATTATTCCGAAATTTATATTATACTTTGAGATTTATGATGGAAGATGAAAATTTCTTCAACAATAACATTTAAAATAAAAGATTCCGTTTTATGGAGTAGTTCATACTTCGTTTTGTTCATCTCCTCGATCCACTCTGCGTCTCGTCCTTCGATCTCCCATCTCGTCGATTTCCTTCCACGACATCATCCAACCGACACCGTTATGAAGCACAGTACCTTTCACTTCCTCTTCTCCCACTTCCCCATACTATTTTCCCTCCCGTTTCTCTCGCTTTCCCAGCTCCCCGGCCGTTGGGAGCTACTGCTCGAGAATGCCGGCATCGCATCGATGCACACCGCCGTCACCCGCTTCGGCACCGTCGTCCTCCTCGACCGCACCGACATCGGTCCTTCTCAACTCCACCTCCCCGCCGGTCACTGCCGCCACGACCCCAAAGACCGCTCTCTCCCCCGCCTAGACTGCACCGCTCACTCCGCTCTGTTCAACCCATCCACCCTCTCCCTCCTCCCCCTCTCAATCCTCTCCGATACCTGGTGCTCCTCCGGCCAATTTCTTCCTGACGGCACTCTCCTCCAAACCGGTGGCGACTTCGACGGCCTCCGCCGCATCCGTACCTTCTCCCCTTGCGCTCCTAACCTCCCCTGCGACTGGCGTGAACTCAAATCCCCTCTCCTCACCGTCGGTCGCTGGTACGCTACCGACCAAATCCTCCCAGACGGTTCCGTAGTAATCGTCGGCGGCCGCGCGTCTCCTTCCGTCGAATTCTACCCTCCGTCACGGCAATTACGCCTCTTTCCTTTCCTCGCCGCCGCTGAAGATTCCCAAATGGATAATCTTTATCCTTTCGTCCATCTCCTACCTGATGGCCACCTCTTCGTCTTCGCCAACTCCCGTGCCGTCCTCTACGACGTGTACGCCGGCACCGTTCTTCGCGAATATCCGCCAATCCCCGGCGGACCTCGAAGCTACCCTTCGGCCGGTTCCTCCGCGATGCTCGCCCTTGAACCCACCGGCGGTGGCTACTTGCACGCTGAAATAGTGGTCTGCGGTGGCGCTCAGTTCGGAGCTTTCCTCCATAGGGATACCGACGCACAGGCTGATACCTCCTGCGGCCGAATCACCGCAAGCGACCCAGAATCGATTTGGGTCATGGAAGAAATGCCGTATCCACGGATCATGGGGGATATGGTGATGCTTCCCACCGGTGATGTGCTTATTATCAACGGCGCGATGGCCGGTTCGCAGGGGTTCGAGATGGCTACCCAACCCTGCTTCTACCCGCTTCTTTACCGGCCAGATCAACCAATCGGACTCCGATTCATGACGCTGACCCCAACCACGATTCCCCGAATGTACCACTCCACCGCCAACCTTTTACCGGACGGTAGAGTGCTGATCGCTGGTAGTAACCCGCATTACTTCTACCGGTTCAATGTCGAGTTTTCGACAGAATTGAGGCTTGAAGCTTTTTCGCCGGAGTATTTGTCGCCGGACAGGAGAAATCTCCGGCCGGAAATTTTGGTGTCGCCGGAGAAGGTGGGGTATGGAGAAACGTTCAATGTGGAAGTGTCGGTGGAGTTGCCATTGGTAGGGATTGTAGAGGTGAATTTGGCGAGTGCGCCATTCTCGACGCACTCATTCTCGCAAGGGCAGAGATTGGTGAAACTAGTAGTGTCGGCTGCGGTGGAGTTGAGCGGTGATGAAGCAAGACATTTTTATCAAATTGGGTGCACGGCGCCACCGGATGGGAGGGTAGCGCCGCCGGGTTATTACATGGCTTTCGCCGTTAATCAAGGGGTGGCCAGTGAGGCCAAATGGGTACAGTTGTTGCTGTAGGAAGGACGGTGAAGATAATAAAATATGCTCGATGTGTAATTGGTGGTGGATGCAATAATTTAGAAGTTTTGGTTTGTTATGAGTTGTCTAAGATGATGCATTCCGGTATTATGCAATTATGAGAATGATTCTTTTGGTTATTATAAATGTTTTTAAGTTTTATTTTGTAGTGGAGGCCAAAAGGAGGGGCCTTACACTTGCTTCTTTGAACACTCACACTTTGCCAATTCTTGCTTTACTTCTACCTCTGAAAGTTGGCAGAACATTAAGTTTTATAATTAGAGGATTTAGGATAATTTGTGTGAGAATGAGCAAAGGTGGAAAAGGCTTTAAAAGAATATGGTTTTCATTCATAAATGACTGGGATAATAAAATCTTGCCCTTTAACATTAAGAATAATTGAATAAAAAAGATCAGAATTGATATAAAACTGGATGTTAACTCTGACAAATGTTAGTCCATAACCCATTGTAGTAAGTTGATCAACATCTAGTGGTATCCCAATTTTACTAGCGATTATAAAAATCCCGTTTTTAGACAAAAACAAAAGAGTGGAAGATTGATCCCGTTTTTAGACAAAAACAAAGAGTGGAAGATTGAGCTTGACTTGTATATGTACTTCTTAAATTCCTCAATTGGTTGAAAATCATGTGACCATTTCTTGAAGAGAAAGTGTCTACTATTTATATAACGAGGTCTCATAATAAAACAAACTTGAAATCTTCAGCATAAATGAAGTTGAAGAGAAAAAATCCTTAAAAAAAGATAGAAGATCCATAGTACCAACGAGTTTCTAAATTTATTTAATAGGTTGAAGAAGATTACCATAGAAAAGATATTTTCCCAATGCATATCCTACCAAATAAAGTTTCAAATGCTTGGATCTGTCTTCAGCTTTCATATCTGAGAAGAAAACTTTTTTTTTTTATATACACAAGAAATGCAAGAGAAAGCAAAGTTTGAAGAACTCGTGATCTTTGACGAAATCTATCATTTTTAGTTAAGGGAAGGATCGTCCCCAAGTAAAGATAGAGAAAAAGCCATAAAAAAGGGTAGAGGAAAAAAAGTCAGAGAGATCTATAGAGTATCTCCATGCCTTTGCTTTCTGACCCCACCCTTTTTTTTCCTCACGTACTTCAGGCCTACACGAAACCCTTCTTCGTTCTACTCACTTAAAAATTCAATTAATTGACTTAATGGTCATGGGCTGAATATGATAATCTTGAAAGTTCTAAAATCGATTAGTTTAGATGAAGGCTAAATGAATTTTTATTTATAAGTTAAGGGAATCAATGAAGATGATTCTTAGTTGTGTTTTAGGTCCGACAGTATGACGGAGTCAGAACTATTAACTTCTTTTTGTGGTTCTAATATATCAAGTTAAATTTATTTCCTAGGTTTAGCCTAAATCAGAGTGCAACATTTTATAATTATAATAAAAACTATCACATCAACTTGTAAAAAATAAAATGAACCTATAAGTGCAACACTACATTAAAACACTATCTTAAAAAGCTAATGATTAACTACATGACTATGACAACATATATATATATTTGGCATTTTCTTAAATTGAACCCCCACCTTAAAGAAGTCTATTCAAGGTGCTGAAGAAATGATTCATGAGATAAGCTAGTGAGAGCGACCGACAAGAGAAGAGTGACAAACACATGCATAGATAAACTATCTTTTCATATGTATTACAAATCTACCGAGGATTGTGAGTACGATCTAGGGGAATTGTCAATCATGCAATCGACGACTTGGGTGACTTTGATGGCTCAACTAGGCTATTTGAGGATATCCAGGGAATAGAAGGAAAAATAAATGTTTGTCATTTTCTTCTTCTTCTTCTCCTGCCCACATCATCATCATCAGTTTTATTTTATTACAATTAGGATAGGTAAATTTTAATCCTAATATTTATCTCGTCTATCTATGTATTCCTTTATATGATTATACAATATTTATATAAATGATCAAGCCAGTCTGTAGAGATCTTTAAAAGTGAGAAAAAAAAATGAATTTAAGTTAATCTTTAATGAATATTAATTATAAAATAATTATAAAAATGCTTCTTAAAGATTGAAAGGGATACGAAAGCAGCATTTAAACTTTCTTTTCAACTTTAGAGCTAACTAATGTACTTCAGATATTCTTAATTAAATTTCAAAATGCAATTATCATGATTTTTTTGTTTAATTCAATTGATTTTCTCAAATGATTATATTCATAATTAGGTGAAAACACAAATATAACTATGGAAGTTTATATTTAGCATTGATTATAGATATTATTTTATAAATAATAAGAACAATAATAAATTAAATTAAATTATTATATATGTGCATACTATATATATATACAATGTAACTTAAATGAAACCAAAATTTATATGTAGGCATCTTAAAAATAGTATTAAAGATTTTATAGAGCTACGCAAAATGACAATTCAGATTGGTGTTATCAAATAATTTATTATTGCTTTAGATAGTTATGAAACACATATTAGAGAAAAGAAAAACAAAGAATCTTTGATGACAAGTTGTGTTTAATTGATCATTGTAGTTATTTAATGTTTTTCTTTACCATTGCATCGAGTGATGATTCAGTAATGTTGAGTGCCGGAAAATTTATAGTGATAAAGTGATAATTTAACATCTTAGTTTGCATGAAGATTCATTACACACACACAGATAATAAAAAAATATCAAGAGGAGACACCATACTTTTTTTATGTAGAAAACTAATGTAGAAAACTAGGAAAAGCAAAAAAAAAAAAAACATGGAATCTAGCCTAGTTAAAGTAATACACTACTTGTTTACAAGTACATGTTTACTCTTCTCACAAATAAGAGAAGATGAAATTACAATGCTGATATTACAAATGTATAATAGTAGTTCAACCATAATGACTGCCATTGGGCTAAAACAAATGTATTGATCATGAATGTTATAATCTGTGGCTATCATAGCAATAGATGGCCACAGAGGCTGCAATTTAAAGCTGTAATAGTAGTATTCAACCACAAGAGAAGTAATTGGTTGGTACACATACAATAGTTGGCCATAAAGGTAATGGTTGAGAGCTGAAATATTGTCAGTTAGTTATAGAGTTCGTAGTTGGTTATTATGATAATGTCAATTGACCATATATGTTGTAGTTGGAAGTTTTAATAGTAGTAGTTAGTCATATATGTCATATTTGGCGACTTCAATATTATCATTTGAGTACAAATGCTGTAGTTGGTGACTAAAATAACATTAATAGATCACAGAGGCCATATATGGAATCTCTAATAGTAGTAGTTGACCACATAGACCATAATTGTTGGTTATAATAGCATCAATTTGCCACATAGACCATATTTGATGACAAACATAACGTCAATTGGTCATAGAGACAGTAGTTGGAATTTATATTCCTCACTATCCAGGACATTCTCTAGATTCAGATAACACAACGCATCAATCACCTCACATCGCCACATTTATTATAGTTTTCGTAACATCAATATTGACGGAACGTGCATCACTTGATGAATCAACTTTTCTGCCACAACAATTATTGTTTTCATGACAAACAATGTTGAAATCTCTTTCATCAAAAAAATTTCTCTAGAAGAATAATTATAAAAGAAAAAAATAAACAACAAAAAAATTTTACCTGAAAAAATATAAATTTTATTTTCTGAAATTTCCATTTTTTCTTTTTTTTTTCTCTTTTTTTTTTCCAGGTGTTTTTTTTTTAAATTTCCTTGCTGCTTTCCCTAATATCTGATTTTCCCGAAAAATTTGTTTCTTTTCCACAATCTCTCTTAAAGGAAAGATTGCCTTTTGCTTTTTACTCTTTACCGAAACTCCATGCGATTTCCTTTTTTTCTTTTTTATTTTTTGCTTAAAGACCTTCCCGAAAGTACTTCCTTCTAGGGCTGTCAAAACGGCTCGTTGTTCGCGAACAGCTCGTGTTCGACTCGTTAAGAAGCTCGTGTTCTGCTCGTTAATTTTGCTCGATAAGTTAACGAGCCGAACGCGAACTAAGATGTGTTCGTTCCTGTTCGGCTCGTTTTGGCTCGAAATACTACTCATCAAGTTTATATATATGTAAAGTAGTATTTTAAAAAAATCTAATTGACTACAAGGCTACAAAGATTTATAATCTATTAAAATATTGATTAAGAAAATAGAATAAAAATTATTAAATTAGATTCAAATGATGTTTTAATATAAATAATAATTTTTAAATCTTGCTCAAACCCTTATTGTCTTATGTCTTATGGCTACATGATTAGGATTGTTAAAAGAACTCTTTATTCCTGAATCTCTTTGTTCCTGAATAGCTCGTGTTCAGCTCGTTAAGCAAACGAGCCGAACACGAACACACTTTTTGAGCTCGAAATATAAACAAGCTGAACACGAGCTCTCGTGTTCGGCTCGTTTACACCCCTACTTCCTTCTTCCCAGAAAAAAAGATTTCATTTTTACCATTCTTATATTCCCTGAAACCAAGAACTGAGACGAAGCTTCCTTTTTAAAAAACTTTTTCGTAAGCTTTCTTAAGAAAAAAGTATTTTCCTTTTGTTTTCCCATACGCGCGATCCCTGTTCCACGCGAAAAATAGAAGTTTCTTTCTGTGAAGCTTTCCTCTTTCACTGTTATCCACGCGACACCTGCCGCTGGAAGTTTTCACGAAAAATAGAGGTTTTCACGCCGGATCTCGTCCGAGCCGCTGGACCTCGCCGGAACCACAGCCCGCAGCTCCGCCTGTCTCCGCCGGCTTGCCACTGGTCAGCCATTGGAACCGTTGCCAGAGGAAAGGCCACCAGATGGGCTTGAGCAGTGCCTCCGCTTGGACTATCGTCGGAGCTGCCAGAACAAAGCACGTCGGATCATGAGCTACCAAAAACATTGGCAACACAAGTCAGATTTGCTGTCGTCGACGTTGAATAATGCTTCGATCAAGATAAAAAAATTTTGATACTATTTGTTATGCAAAAATAATGTAGTTACGTAAAAATTCACATAACAACAATAAAACACAAGATTTACTTAGTTTGACATTATGTTGACTCACCTACTTTCATGGGGAGTAAGATTTAACTAGCACTAGATGACAGAAAGAA